TAGACCCTTCCTTCCCTTGGCCACTCTTGCTCAGCAAGTGAGCCGGACTTCCCAAAACACCTGCAGGTCAAGTGACACCTTCTGTCACACAGCTTCACCCTTTCCTTTTCAAGAGTCTTTGTCTTATACAGACCCACTAACACCCCTTAGCGTTCTCACTGCCTGCCCCCCAGGTATTATGAGATTATATATACATATAGTCTTTTAGGTTGTTTGTTTTGTTATTTCCCCTCCCAAAAACGCTGGTCTGACCTGGTCTTCCCGCTGCAGTGGCCTGTAGGCACATCTCTCCAGTGTTGTGTGTCTTCCCTGGGGACATGCCTGACCATTTTTGACACACTACCTTCCCCATGCCCCCATCCTGCCAGGTGTGCCCATGACTGCCTTCATGGACTCCCATGCCGGAAGAGATGCACTGCTACTGATACAGGCCTTTTGGGAAGCTCTTGGGATGAGCATGAGTGTTTCAAAAACTGGTAACATGAGCTCCCAGCGTTCTTGCACAGTACTCCCCTCCCCTCCATCCAAGGGTGGCTGTGTGTCCTGTCCTCCAAATACCATATGCTGCCTCTTTATGGGATTATCAGTAAGTGTCAAACATGTCATTACATGTTTGCAGTGTGTGTCCTCCTGCGTCAGGAATGACATCCAGCCCTTTGAAAAGTGTCCCTTTTGCTCCAGCCCTGGATCAGAGCTGCCTTGTCTTCCCCTCCCAACAAGGAGGCTGCAGCACTGATTCCCAAGCAGGCTTCCAGCAGGAGCAGTGGTGTGCCTGAAGCCAGGAGCTGGACTTTTGCAGCAGACCAAATAGTTCAGAAACCATTGCCTCATGCAGTTTGGTTCACAGGTTTGGGGCTGTCCTCTGCTCTCAGCTTCAGCCTATGTCGAGATTTCCCAGCTGAGGTGCCCCACGTGCCCTGTGGGACAGTAGTACCATTCATACTGCAGCTCCCCCGACAGTTTTGGAGTAATGGAAGCCAGCTGTCGCTGACCTTAGACAAACAGCTGTTCTTTCTGCTTTGTCTGCAAGAGTAGCGCTTCCCTGAAGGGCTCCGAACCAGTCAGCAGCCGAAGTGAACATTTGTGGGGATGGTTTGCTCCTACCTCTTCAGGGGAACCCTGCAGACATATGTTCCAAAGAGATCGGTGCTGTCGGCTGCTGCCAAAGGACTGAAGGCTGCTCCCCTCCGAGCAGGTCATCCAACACCTTACCATGTACAGTATTGTCTCCGATGTTTCTTTACATTCTAATCAAGAGTTAAAGTTGCCTTTTTTCTTTTCCAACTCGACTCAATGGTACATGAAGGCAGGGCCTCAGGAGGAGCTGGTTCCCAGGGCCATTGTTTTGGGCTGAAGTTTTTAATTCTGTCTGAAGTTACTGCTTTTTACAATGCACACAGTGTTCCCCGGCACGCTCGCTGCAGTGCACCCCGTGAAGTTTAGCTGCAGCCGACTCAGATCTCCAGGCAGGAGCCTGCAGCCTCCTGGGGGCCTGTCCAGGTACACATTTCACTGCAAATAATGAAGTGTTGCTACATCGATGCTAAAGAAACAAAGGGCTTTTCCTCCTTAGCCCCAAATAACCAAGTGCCTTTTTATATATGTGGCTATCTTCTACAAGATGAGTGCTTTCTGTGGAATGAAGTCGGTTCCGTGCCTGGCCTGTTAATATGATGGCCCTCTGCCTTTCTCTCTTTTTTTTTTTTAACTACTTGTAAAGATAATATCTCCTTAAGGTGGTATTTTATCTCGTAAGTTGTAGAGTAACCATTCACACAGCAGCATTTTCCTATATTAATAATGGAAAATATTTGCTTATTTTTACATTTTTTATAAAAGTCTTTTATGAAAACAGTTGCTGCCAAATGTATAAGCAATTTTTATCCCCAGAATAAAAAGTACGTGCCCAGTGTCTGTGTGCTGCTGCTTTCATTTGTCTTCCTGGCTATCTTACACAGCCACCAGATTATACATGAATCAACAGTGTTCAGCAGCTGTTCAGATTCTGGCAACGGGGGGTTCAATAGCATTTTCACAGTCCATGTCAGGAGACAGCTTTTGGGAATCAGGAGTGTTCTCTATCTCAGCAGCACATGAACCCTGCCACTTAGAACCACCCAAGGGAACTGGAAGCAGCCTGGCTTGGATGTAGCCAACGGATTTGGAGTCTCTTGGTTGGCTGAGAAGAGGGAAGCCAAGCAGCTGGGCATACTGGGAAAGACAGGGCTGGGATGGGACCTTTCTTGGATACTTTGCGTAAGAGCTCTCACTTGCCTGTGAGTCTGGGAGGCAAAGAAGGGCTGGGGTGTTTGTGTGGCTTTTAGAAAGGTTGTGAGGAAGTGTGAGTCAGGTGGTGATTAGTGGGAGCTATGGATTCATTTGTTCCCTCTGGTCCTGCTTGCTTCCTTCCCTTGGCTGTTTGCTGTTCTTCTAGCAGGGAAGAGGACCCTCGTTGCTGGAGCTGAGGCTGTCTCCCTGGCTTTGTCTCAGCAGCTGATGCACAAAATCATAGAATCCTTAAGGCTGGAAAAGCCCTCTAAGATCAAGTCCAACCATTAATCCAGCACCACCATGTTCACCACTAATCTGTGTCTCCAGGGGCCACATAAAGATGTTTCTTGAATGCTTCCAAGAATGGTGAGTCCACCACTTCCTGGGCAACTTGATCCAATGCCTGACTGCCCTTTCATTGAAGAAATTTTCCCTAATATCCAATCTAAATCTCCCCTGGTGCAGCTTGAGGCCATTTACTCTCATCATAGCACTTTTTACCTGGAAGAAGAGACTGACCTCCACCTGGCTACAGCCTCCTTTTAGGTAGTAGAGAATGATAAGGTTCCCACTGAGTCTCCTTTTCTCCAGACTAGGAGCATGAAGATTTGTGATTTCTCCAGCCTCTGAAACAGAGAATCATGACTCCTCTGTCCTGGTCTCAGACTTGAACAGTTTGACTTGGACAGTCAGACAACAAACTGTCAGTAGCTGCTGTGCTGCATTTGGAGCATGGAGATGCCACTGAAGCCTTGGGCTCCACTAGTGCTCACCTGGCTGTTTTCCAACTCTTGCTGTGGACTCGGATGGAGCTGGTAGCTAAATTACGATGCCTAGCAGGGGTAAAGCTGCTGGGGGCATTTTAAGGGTTTAATATTCAAACAGCGCAGCTCCTTTATCTTCTGGTAGAGCCAGCTTGGCAAGTCCAAACCTCCGGGAGGCATTCATCCATGTTCTCCCACAGCCTGCACATCTGTGCCAAAGTTTAGCAAGCTCTGCTGAGCCTCTGGCACAGCTGCATCGAGTTTACTGGTGCTCAGGCTGAGACTTGAAGCTGCGACTCCTTGGGAACAGCACATTCCTCTCCCCCAGCCCGGGATGGCCAGGGGCTTGTGGAAACTTGCTGTATTGCATCCAAACATGCCTAACTGGGCCAGCCAGGCACGGAGCTGGGGCATCACTTATCTGAGAAGTAGAGGAGGAACCTCAGGCTCCTTTGGGGAACTTTTTCACAGTTTTTCATAAATCAAGGGTGGAGCCCTGTTTTCTATGGGGTTATTGTGTTTCTAGAGTTTCCCCATTAGTCAGGACAGCTATTCTCTGGAGGGTTGTTTCTTTCAGAACTGATAGCAGGCAGCAGCTGTGTTTGGACACAGGAAGGCTTTACACCTTTGATCCCAGAGGGTGCCTAGCAAGCAGCAGCAGCTGTATCCTGGCTTTGTGTGTGAAGTAGATGGGTCTGATCCTTCTCCCTCCCTGGGGCAAAAGCCAGACCTGCCTCTGCATGCCAGCATGGAGCTGCTCCCCGTGGGTGCAACAGCATTCACTGTCTGCATGTTTCGGCAAATGCTGCCACAGAGGAGATCCCGTGGGAGATCCCTGGGGTTCATGGCTTGATCCTGACAGCAAGCTCTCCATTTTAGGGGAAGCAGGGCTCAGTTCTGCATCCGGATCCTCTGCAGGTAGCTGCCTCCTGCATAGCTCCCAGTGGCCTCCTCCAAGGGTTTTGCGGTGGGTTGGGAGAAGGAGAACCAGGCATTGGCTGGAGCTGGCAGCAGCAGGGTACTGGGCAGGAGCTGGCAGCTTTGCAGGAGCCACGGGACAGGCAGCAGGATGAGCTTTCAAGGCCACTTTGGTACATTATGAGCCAGCGAAGCGACACTCCAGAGCGTCATGTTTGCAGCAGTAGCATAGAGAACTCCAGGTGCCTCCCACAGGGGCAGAGGACTCCCCGGGGTGAGGAGCAAGGACCATGACAGAGAAGGCTGTGCCTTCTCTTGCCTAAGGGTTCCAGCTGCTGGGGCTGTGGGCAGCCCACCTCTGTGGCTCCATGCCAGCAGCAACCTCCCCAGCACCGGGGCTGCAGGTTCCCCCCGTGGGGCAGGGGCAGTGGGGGGCTGCTGCTCCAGGACCTGCCCCCCCCCTCCTGGAGGGACGCAGAGTGACAAAGCCCTGCGTCACCGCTGGGCACGAGGGCTGGGCACCCACACCGCTATCTGATGGCACCGCCGGCCCCCGGCTGCAGGCTGTTCCCACATCCCGTCGTCCTGCATCCTGCTCACAAACCTCCCCCGGCAGTTCAAACAAGGGCGGTGTGTGTGACGCATGGCAGAGCTGGGCAGGGTGTAGGGCCCAGCTGGGTGCCATCCCTCAGCTGGGGACACAGGCAGTGCCAGCGGGTGGTCCCCGTGTCCCGACTGCTCACTGCAGGGATGCTCTGGCCAGGATGAGGGGCTCACCCCCAGGGCTCGCCCCTGCCAGCCCCTGGCCCAGCCAGGGCTGGGCCAGCAGGCATCCCTGTCAGGTGCCAGGCTGCTCTCAGCCACAAGATTACCTCTATATCGCGGGATCGATTTATGATAATTGCAGGGGGTTTATTGACCAACTAGGACAGGCTCTTCCTGTCTGTTTCTAGAGATATGTTAAATGCAAACAGAGTTGTAGATCTGGGCAATTTTCCAGCAAAGCAGGGGGGGGGATGGACGGGAGTCAGCAGTAAGACTTTTATGGTGAGAATCACCTGAGCTGGGCAAACACCGATGCTGATGAGCACCAGGCTATAAAGGGCAGCTCCTCTCTTCTCCCTCTCCCAGCGATCCACGACAAGCCGTTATTCCTCCGCATCTCCAGATAACAGGTGAGGAAGAGGACTCTCACAAAGCAGCTGAAGCCTTGGGATTCTCACAGCTGACTTGGGGGTAAACAGGAGCTGATCCCAGCCCTGACAGCTCCCGAGGACCTGAGCTCTGCGCTTTTCTGCATGGGGCGGGCTGTGATGATGCATTTTTCAGCCCTGCATTGACTTTTGTCGCTGATTCTTTGAGGGGAAGACAAGCTGAGTCTGCAAATTGGCCCCAGTGCCCAGGGATTAGCCCACATAAAGGGGAACTGTGCTGATGCAGCTGATTTGTCTCCCCAGCCCGGGCAGGACTACGAGCTCAGGGTGTGAAAATGATGCCGAGCACATAGTCCCTGCAGCCCTATTGGCCACAGCTCTGCTTGTTGGTGCTGCTGCTGCCCCAGGTCCTCTGCCCCATGCCTGTGGCAGCACTCTCCTCATGTCCCCACAGAGCAGCTTGGCTCAGTCAGATGCCTCCTGCCAAGGCTGTGACTGGTGGGGCCAGTGTGGGCTGGGGACCCCAGCCGTGCCTGGGACATGGGATATGGGCACGGGACAGTGACCTGTGCCAGGGAGGAGAGAGAGAGGCACAGACTGCCATCTCCTCCACGTGGCTGAAAGGGGCCAGATTCAGCCCACAGGGTGGGTTTGCACTCTCTGGGCACAGGTGGCATCTTCTGTCCCCAAGGGACCTCGTGTGACCCCCCTGAGTCTTTACAGGGATCAAGGAGGATGATGGCAGCAGCCAGACTCGCCCTCCTGCTGCTGGGCTGCATGGGGCTCCTGCAGCCAGCCGGTAAGTCCCACGGCTCGGGGGACAGCTGCTTTTGTAATGAGGACAGGGGGGAGCCATGCTCCTCTCCAGCCAGCAATGCTGGCTGTCCCCCATCCCTCCCCACTGCTCTCGGTCTGCAGCTGGCAGGTATATAAGCTACTGCCCTAACGGCTGGTCCTACTACAAGCTCAACTGCTTCAAGTACTTCCCTGATGTCCGGACCTGGGACGAGGCTGAGGTAAGCCCACTGGGGCACACAGGCAGACAGGGACTCCCCATCTCCTTGAGGTGCCCCAGCACTGACAGCTCTCTCTGCAGAGCCAGTGCCAGGCCATCCAGGACGGTGCCCACCTGGCCTGGGTGGAGGACCAGCGTGAGGCCATCACCCTGAAGAAAGCCATCTCCTACTACCAGCGCGTGCAGCCCGTCTGGCTCGGGCTCCACTACAGTGAAGAGGTGAGGCAGGGGCTGCAGGGGTGATCGGGGCTGGAAGGCCACAGAGCCATGCCTCTGAACCTCCTCTCTCCTCACAGAGCCAGGACTGGAAGTGGACAGGTGGGGACAAGTACAGCACTGCCAGTGGGCTGTCCGGGAATGGTGCCAGTCCGGGGAAATGCGCCATGTTGACCCACCAGAGCAGTGAGTGCCCGGATCCCACATCCACATTCAGTGCCTGCTCTTGGCTGGCATTCCCCCCCTCCCTCCTCCTCTGGGTCCTGGCCCTCTGGGGGCTGTAGTTGGCAGAGCTGGTGCCCCTGTTCTAACCGTGGCCCCCACCAACCCTTGGCCCATCTCTCCAACAGGCTTCAGTCTGTGGTCCAGCGCCAACTGCACTCAGAAGCATCACTACATCTGCAAGTTCACCCCCTTGCACTGAGCACAGCCTCTGGCCCGTGGGGGACCCCATGCCAGTGATGTTCCTCCTGTGCCACCTCTGCTCCTCTCCGCACAATTCCTAAAAATACATCTATAAAAAAAGAAGCATGCAAGTGCTGTGTGAGCTTGGTGCTGGTGCAAAGCCCTGGGCTGGTCCGGGAGGGAGGGAGGCAGGTGCTTCCATGGCTCTCCCAGCTTTCTTGCTTCCAAGGGCTTCAGCACTGCTGGTGCTAGCAGAGCTGTTTGGGGATCAGTCCCCAGGAGCTGCAGGGCCAGTGGCTCTCCTGGCTGAGTGCTCATGTTTGCTCATCCCCAGCCCCCTGGTGCCAAACGAAAGGTGTCCCTGGGGAGCAGGTGAGGGGACAGGAGTGTCCCCAGGGTGCAGATATGGAGACCTGGGGCACAGAAATGGGTGGGGATCAGAGCCGTCGTGGGTGTGCAGGCACGGGGACAGAGCTCCCACGGGTGCAGACAGCTCCACAGGGATCTGGGGGCTGCGATGCTGCCCCCTGGCCATGTCGACAGCACCACCGGGACCAAAGGTCCCTTCTTGTGTCACTATAACGTTGCCACAGGCATCACGTGGCTGTTTGCTCTGCTGCTTTGAAGGTGGCTCTGCCCCCACCCAGCTCAGGGGGTTTTCACCCCCCGGAGCCGCGGCACGTGTCAAACGTGGACTGCGCCCTGGGCAGCACGGATAGTGCCAGCACCAAAGACCTGGCCGCCCTCTGCTCCCTCCCAGGACCTCGGGGGCAATCGGGGAGGCCACACAGCGCCGCGCTCACTGCTCAGTGACCACAGCTGTGCCGGCGAGCCGTGGGCACCGGAGCTGCCCCCGCCGGGGCTGCGGAAGAGCCGGTCCCGCGGCTCAGCCCCGGCTCCAGCCGAGCGCGTCCCCGGGCTTTGGGGCACAGGACGGAGACATCTCACAAGCTCCCCCCTCCGAAGCCCCGCTGCCCCTGCTGTGTTGGCTGGCGCTCGGCGACCTTTGAGCGCCAGTGTCCGGCACGCTGATAAAGGCCGGGAGGGCTGTGCCGAGTTACCCACGCAGTTTATAAAAGCACCACTCAGGGCCCGTCCCGCTTTCCCTCTGTCCCGACGCTCGTCCTTCCGTCCGTGCAGCGGTCGGGGCGAAGATGTTGCGCTTGGTTGGCCGTGCCGCGCGCTGCTGGGGGGCCAGGTGGGCACCACCAGGGCCAGAACAGGCACCCCGGGGGGCCCAGCACCCCGTGGCCTTGCAAAGGGCATGGTGAGCATCCACATGGATCGGGCGGGCCGGAGACGTAGCCAGGGCAGGGGTGGGGAGCTGTCTGAGCTCTTAAACCTTGCTGGGGAAGGGGATCCTCTCCCTCCTCCCTGGCAGCGCTGCCAGGCACAGGGAACTAGTAGGGATTTGGGGTGCTCCCAACCTGGGCTGCTCGCTGGTGGCATCTCCCCAGGACCACCCCCGTGTTCCCAATGCTCGGGGCTACCACGGGACTGCCACCACTCCCTCTGCCCCACAGCCTCTCCAGTGCTGCCGGGACGGGTGCCTGGCCCAAGGATGTGGGCATCCTGGCACTGGAGGTGTACTTCCCTGCCCAGTATGTGGAGCAGGAGGAGCTGGAGCGATATGATGGTGTGGAGGCCGGCAAGTACACACGGGGCTTGGGCCAGAAGCAGATGGGCTTCTGTGCTGCCCATGAGGACATCAACTCCCTGTGCCTGACGGTGGTGCAGCGGCTGGTGGAGCGTGGGCACCTCTCCTGGGATGCCATCGGCCGCCTGGAGGTGGGCACCGAGACTGTCATCGACAAGTCCAAGGCTGTCAAGACTGTCCTCATGCAACTGTTCCGTGACTCGGGCAACACTGATGTGGAGGGCATCGACACCACCAACGCCTGCTATGGCGGCACGGCCTCGCTCTTCAACGCGGCTGCCTGGGTGGAGTCCAGTGCCTGGGATGGTGAGTGCAGGCAGGGACTGTGCCATGGGGCTGGATGCTGGGTGGGTGCCATGGAATAGGGGGAGGAGGCAGGAGGGGGCCTGAAACCCATAGATACTCTGGCAGGCTTCAAAGGAAGCTGCTGCCCCTCCAGGCTCTCCATCACCCCCGTTTCTTGCTTACCTTGGCTGTGACACCTGGCATCATGGAAATGGGAATACACGAGGGCCATGGTGTGGAGGCTTCCACCTGTCGATGGCCCTGACAGTTCCTGACTCCTCCCCAGGTCGTTACGCCGTGGTGGTGTGTGGGGACATTGCCGTCTACGCCACGGGGAACGCGCGGCCCACAGGAGGTGCCGGTGCCATCGCCATGCTGGTGGGACCCAACGCCCCACTGGTGCTGGAGAGAGGTCAGTGTCTTGAGACCCTGGGGATGGCAAGCTGATGAGTGCTGTCCCCGGAGGCCATGCATTCATATCCCAGGCCTGGGCAGAGCTGCTCAGCTCCAGCAGCACTGGATCTGCCAGACCCTGCTGGGTACTACAGGATGCCTGGCTAGCCACATCCCTGTGGAAGGCTGGTGGATGTCAGAACTGGCATGGCAGGCAGCACCCCTGGGTGCTTCTGATTGGGCTCCCTGATGGCAGGCTCTCCCTGTGCCCCCAGGCCTGCGGGGAACCCACATGGAGCATGCCTATGACTTCTACAAGCCGGACCTGTCCTCCGAGTACCCGGTGGTGGATGGGCAGCTCTCCATCCAGTGCTACCTGCGGGCGCTGGACCGCTGCTACGCCGTGTACCGACGGAAGGCGGAGAGCCAGTGGCAGCAGGGTAAGTGGCAGCACCCCTAAGGTGCCCATCCCATCCCCCTGGATGCTGATGGACCCATGTTGCCTTCCAGCCGGCATCCAGAGGCCCTTCACCCTCGATGACTTCAAGTACATCATCTTCCACACACCCTTCTGCAAGCTGGTGCAGAAGTCTGTGGGGCGACTGCTGCTGAATGATTTCTTGGCCTCCCCCAACCCTGACACAGCCTCCGGTCTCTACAAGGGGCTGCAGTCTTTTCGGTGGGTCCCTGCGCCGTGTCCCCCACCCCTCAGCCCAGGCAGGGATGTGCCAGTGCAAGGTTTGAGCCAGCCTCTCTCTGGGCAGTGGTTTAAAGCTGGAGGACACCTACACCAGCAAGGATGTGGAAAAGGCATTCCAGACAGCCAGCCAGGACATATTCAACCAGAAGACCAAGCCCTCCCTGCTCCTCTCCTCCCGCAACGGCAACATGTACACACCGTCCATGTATGGCTGCCTGGCTTCCCTCCTGTCACAGTAAGTCCCCCAAAATGCTAGCTCAGGGGAGGGAGGAGGTCATTTTGGTAAGGGCGGGCAGACCCTGGCTGGCTGGAGGGGGAGGTGCCAGCACTCATATTCCCCCCTTCTCAGCAGAGACCTGACAATTTCAGTGCACACAACCCCCAGCATGGATGCATCCCACTCCGTGCCATCTCCCTGCCAGCCTTTTCATCCCAGCTTGCTGGAGCTGGGCCAGTACATAAAGCCCTTCTGTCATTGCCAGGAGGATGAAAACCCCGTTGTCATGACCTGCAGAATGAGTGACCCCACGGGAAGGGAGCCATGGGAACAGACAGGCCCTGGGGGGAACAAAAGCCTAGTCCCTGGCACCACTGCACTCCAGGGCCACACTCCCTTGGAAATGTGGCCCTGAGACACAAGGACCCCCCTGTCTGGGAAGGAGGCAGCCCCCTACACTACCCCCTCACGCCAGTCTCCTCTAACCCTTCTAACCCCCTGCTCCAGGTCCTCAGCCAAGGACCTGGCTGGCTCCCGGATTGGTGCCTTCTCCTATGGCTCAGGACTGGCTGCCAGCATGTTCTCCTTCCGTGTCTCACAGGATGCAGCCCCAGGTGAGCCCCATGGGAGGGAAGGACTGGGAAGGGAGGGTGGTGTGGGGCTGTGGGGCCCAGGGCTGCCAGTAGTGCCATCTGACTCGTGGGGTGCCCATTGCCAGGCTCGCCCCTGGACAAGCTGGTCTCCAGCCTGGCTGACCTGCCGGCTCGCCTGGACGCTCGCAAGCGCGTGGCCCCACAGGACTTCGCGGAGATCATGAAGCGACGGGAGGAAACCCACCATTTGGGTGAGTGGGGCTGGGAGGATGTGACACCCCCCCACTGGGACCCCATGACACCCCTGAGCATCACTGCCCTCTCCCTGCAGCCGACCACGCTCCCCACGGCTCCCAGGCAGATCTCTTCCCCGGAACCTGGTACCTGACGCGCGTGGATTCCAAGTACCGCCGTGAATATGCCAGGAAGCCCATCTAGAGGGGACTGGAGGGGTGAGCCCTAGGATGGGGGATGCTCTTTTTACCACTGTCATCCCTGCTCATCTCCAAATCCAGGGCTGCCTTCTGTGGGAAACGTCAGCTTGGATGACTGGGGAATGTCCAGTGGTGCCTCGGGCCCCAGAGCTGGTGGAGGCTGTGGCTCTTCTACAAACACCTGGGCAGTGCAGGGGAATAAAGGTGTGGATAGGAGGGGGCAGCAGCTCGGCTCTAGCTCCTGATCTTGAGTGGTCTCCTCCCACCACAGGATACTCCCCTTAAAAACTGTGGATCTGGATTGCAGCCCCTTACAGGATTTATCCCACGGGCACCCGGCATTGGCCACCTGCCCCATTAGACATGTGGCTCAATAACCCCCATTATCCCAGGATGGGAGTGTGCCCTGACATTTTGGGGGAGCCAAGTAAAACCCAGCCTCCCAGTCTCCAGATTGGGGGTGGTAAGAATCCATTTTCCCTGTGAGGTCACTAAAGTGAAACATCCTCATGGCAAACCCCAGGGGCAGGAGGGGGCAGGCGACGCAGGGGCTCACGGGAGGGCTCATCCCCCTTCCAGCACTGCTCTCTGGGCCATGTCCTGGCACGGGACTATGGCCAGATGGGACCTCTGCAGCAGCAGAGACCTTTGCACCCTTCAGCAAACAGCAGCAGGGTTGGGGAGTGGTGAGGGCAGGAGGGAGGGGATTTGGGGTTGAGGACAAGGGACCACACAGACAACGTATCACATGCTCTCTCCTTCTAGACCCTTTATTGAGTGTGGGGCCACCCCAAACTCAGTGTGGGGGTCAGGGACAGCTGGCTCCAATGCTTCCCCAG